CGCGCCACCTGAGGCAGTGCCACGGGCAAATCCACCCAATGCGGAAACATTTTGAACCCTTCGGCCTCCAACTGTTGATGCCGTGTGAGTTCCATGTCCATCCTTGTCACGAGGGGATCGATAATCCAATGTTCTGTTAAGAGGGCCGTAGTGTGCCTCATAACCTTTGATGTAGTATCGTGCACCTATTATCTTCCTGTCATTGAACAAATTATAAGTGCTGGTAGTGGCAAAAAATTTTAAACCAGATTAATATAGTGCTCATTGCACAAATTCTAGTTTTTGCATCTACAAACAGCTATATCAGGTGACCATATCATATAAAATGGTTAAAACAAGTGATTTTAGCCCTTACAAAAAGATTACTGATTTTTAGATCTCTTCGTGCCTATGTCATGTTGAGATACTCATATCAGTTTGTTGAGAAACGCGAAAGATACCGGACAACTCCAATGCCAATTTGTTGGAGATTATAAACATAATATGAAATAAAGATTACAAACTCACAAAAAGAATATAATTTGCAGAGTAAATGAGATTTCACTAAAATATGGAGAAAGAACAAAAAGATTTGTGTTTACAATTTATCTAATTAACAATGGGGATAAACAAACCTCGAATAAGGTTAAACCAACCTATAACGAGGTTAATAACCTATAATAAAGTAAAACCATCCCAACTAAATTGTAGAGAGAGTCAAATATATATTATAGGAAACAATCCAAACCCTAGAAGTAGAGTTTGAGATAAAATAGAATATTTATAAGTTTCCTTATTTTGATATCTTCAAACCCAACACAAATTTCAATTCCTAATAGGGCTTCCAAATAGAATTGCAACTAGAATTTGCCAAATATATTGACTTCGAATAGGATTTCAAAAACATTCCAAGTAGAATTCTTCTTAAGTCGTGAATTTAATTAGAATTCTCAATCATCTTCAAAATAGAATTCGGGTCACACCTTAATTTTAACATGCTCCGCATTAACATAAATTCTACTGCAATGAATAAACTTCAACGATTTTATGTTAAGATTTTGGATTACATTTTAAAAGGTCAACCTTATTAAGAGGAGTAACACAATTCTTTATAAGTTGGTTTATATTTTCATCTCTATTCGATGTTGGATTCTATCACTTAACATGCCCCAACAAGATAGTGGCTCGTTTGAGCAAAACAATCTTGAATTTGTGTGCTCATTTTTTTTTAGTCTTAATCGGATTGAATTGGAGTTTAATGAGCTCTGATACCATATTAAAATTTGGGATTATATCTTAAAAGATCAACCTTATTAAGATGGGTAACATAATCCTTTATAATTTGGTTTATGTTTGCATCTTTATTCGATATTGGATTCTATCCCTTAACATTTCTACCAGGAGACAAACTCCACTGTAAAAAATGAACTTCAACTCTTCAACAAAAAACATAAATGAAATTTCCATCAAAATTTCCACCGAAAATAAACGAAATCTCCATCAAAATTTCTAACTAAAAATGTTCTCCAAAAACTCTATCACCCACCTAATGGTAAAACTCAATACTTGAGTAATACCAAAATTCCTAGAAATCCTTTGGACACCAAAGTTGCTCGAATCACGAACAACTAAATCAAATGTGATTAATAATCACCAAATAAGCCATGTAATAAAAACACCACATAACATTTCAATAGAAGGATCTAGGTTAGAATCAACACTTTCAACCAAATCAGCATTATTATACCTACGTGGAGGCTTATAGCAAAAAATTGGCATGTTTCTAGCAACTGAATACAATGGTACCATCGATAATAGTGGTAAAGCGGTATTACTCAAAATTTCTAAATTCAACTGAGATTTATTCTTCAAATAAGACCCCAAATTAGACTCCAATGGTACATAATCAAACTCCAAATCCACCTGAGTCCTTAAAATATGTCGATACATCAAAGATTCTATATAAAACTGCAAGACATATAACAAAAAAGAGGCTCTTTTACGAACTTTCAAGACTCCACCTTCATTAGTGTACTTATACCCTTTTGAAACAAGAGTATTCAAGGAAAAAATATTTCTCTTTAAATTTGGAACATGTCTCACTGCATCGAGTGTTTTAGTTGTCCCATCAAACAACTTTATTCGGACACAATCCATACCATATATTCAACAAGGTATATTATTTTTCATTATTAGCACACCTTTTGAAATTGTTTCATATGTTGAAAACGAATTTCGATTGGGAGACATAAGTACAAGATGTATCAAGATTCCAATCATTGTCAAGTTTGGAATAGTTGTCAGAAGCAAGTAAAAAAGTTCTCCATTACTGTGAAAAGTTTCAACAATGGCTTCACCTGAAGTATGTAATTGCTTTTCCTTCTAAAAAGTTGCAGCAAAATTTTCTGTATTCTACAACTTATAGCAATCCTTAATTAAGTGCCCTGAATTCTTGCAATAAATTTTGAAGTTGGAACTTTAGTTTGCCCATTGCACAACCACCATCAAGAACAAGCTTATCTCCATGAGCCTTAGTTTCAATGAGATGCTTTATATCTTTTCCTTTGAGTATAGGGCATCATAAACTTCTTCAACGGTGAGATCACGACTATATAAAATTGTATCATTAAAACACAACAAAATCAATCCTATATAAGTAAGTACTTCTTGCCTCATAATCTGCCACAATGAAAATCTTATATTGCGATCCAATAATGGAACATCAAAATTCATGGTTTCCATCACAAAAAAATCAAGCTAAGCTTTTTAAATTGATTAAAACCTCGATCTCCCTAGAATTTTCAAGCATTTGACTTTGATACCAGTGTGTTGAAAAACGCGGAAGATACCGAATAACTCTGAACCAATTTGTTGAAGACAATATAAGATTATAGACACAATATGAAATAAATATCACAAATGCACAAGAAAAATATATTTTGCATAGTAAATGAGATTTTACAAAAATATAGAGAAATAATACAAAGATTTGTATTTACAATTTGTCTAACTAATAATGGGAATAAACAAACCTCCAATAAGGTTAAACCAACCTATAATGATGTTAAAACCCCATAATGCGGTAAAGCAATCCAACTAAATTTTAGATAAGAGTCAAATATATATAAGGAACAATTCAAGCCTTGGAAGTATAATTTTAGATGAAATAGAATAATCAAAGTTTTCTTATCTTAATCACTTCAAGTCCAACATAAATTCCAACTCCCAATTAGGCTTCCAAATAGAACTTCAACTAAAATTTGCCAAATAGATTTCGAATAAGATTTCAAAAGCATTCCAAATAGAATTTCTTCTTAAATCACAAATTTAATTAGAATTCTCAATCATCTTCAAAATAGAATTCGAGTCACTTCCTAATTCTAACAACCACATATTTGTCATATTCGTTAATGCTTTACAACTATACAATGACCTGTAAGGCCCATAAATATTTGGTCTAGTAAAATCACAGAATAATTGGTAGAGCCTTTGGCACAAAAAAACAAAGTCAAATAGACATTGAAGGGATAGAAGTTCACAAGATGGCATTGCAAGAAGCCAAAAATATTGACTTCCTGCCAGAATTTATCGCTGTTGGATTGGATATAGAAAAGCTAGGAACCATAAGCCGAACATAGATAAATAAGTGATGCATATAAGGACATGAATGTAGGACAAGAAGCTGGGCCCAATTCACGCTTTACTTGAAAAATGTCATTTCTGATAATTTAGGAAACAACCTAGAAGAAATGGACTTAATCCCACTTTGGAGGTATAAAGTTCCTTAATTCAAGTTGATTCTCTCAGTAGTAGAGGCACGCGCGAAACCCCTATCATTTAGCTGAGTGTTGTTAATTAAGTGATGACGAGGCCCGACTTCGGCTAGATTTTTCTTCTATAATATATAAGGGCAGCTATAGAATGTGAAATATATAGCAATTATCGAAGGGAATATAAAGAAAACTCACTTGTTACAGTTTGAAGAGTTGAATGCATCTCCTGATTGACAAATTCCTTTCCATGATGATGGATAGGGACCCATTCCTTTATCACTGAAGCTTTTTGATTCTGGCCACACACCTGATTTACAAAAAAGTTTTCATCACATGCAATCATGGCAGTCTGATAAATAATATGCTTCATGGCATATTTGATGTGCAATATTAGACTCGATTATGCTGAAATTCTTATTTTATTCCGGTTAAAACCGTCCAATGCTATTATAGAAAGAAAATAAATTTATATATAGAGTTCAATGACAGGATAAGATTACCACTATCTAGCATGCCAACAATAACATTTTGGCCATATCTTGATTTCAGTAACAAGTCCTCCTTCAATTGAAACCCTTTACTTCCTTGTAGTTGTTGTAAACCGGAAAATTCCCATGACCTTGTAGTCTGCAAAGAGTACTTTGTCGACTGGCTCCGCAATACAGAGAACACTTCCTCAATCTCTGTTAAAAAAAATTAAAATATTGAATTAGACAATCACAAAGAGGGGGAGAGAGAGAGAGAGAGCTTGTGGTGGTTCGACTCACCGGACAGTTTGAAGGCTTCATCTGGGGTGAGCAATGCTGCGAAGCCATTGATGCTGGACTTGTAACTGTAAATAAGAGAAGATTTAGCATCTTCCACAGTTTCTTTCACAGAGAACAGATATGAATGATGGTTTTCTTCAATTTCATTATATGTTTTCTCTCCACTATGTTCTCCAAGGTACACTATGTACACCTGCAAATGACAGTATATTTAGTG